TTTATTTTTTGTTTTCTCAATCATGTATTTAGATTAATTTAGTCAGCTCTTTTAAGTCGTTATGTAATAACTTGTGGTGGATTACAAGCTGATCAACTTGCTGTAGCTTGTGGAGGTTCAAAACATCCAACCATTGTACCATTTCGTGGAGATTATCTTTTATTAAAAAAAAGTAACAAAGATGAATTAAAAATTAATGGTAATATTTATCCTGTGCCTGATCCAAGATTTCCTTTTCTTGGTATGAAAAATAAAACTCGAATTATTTAATATTTTATTTTTTTATGTTAATTTTAAATAAATATAGGTGTTCATTTTACTCCAAGAATGGATGGTTCCATTTGGCTGGGTCCTAATGCTGTTCTTTCTATGAAACGTGAAGGATATGGTCTGTTCGATTTCAACGTTCGAGATACAATTGATCATGCATTGAATAGGTAATTGGAAATTAAAAAAATGTCTCGATTAGGTTTATTTAACAAAAACATCAATGACATATAATCTGTCGTAACAACTCGTCCAATGTCTCATACAAAATGAAAGAGCCAATAGAACACAACGAAATTCAAGAATTATTAACAGTGTTACTTTTCTCTTGACAAACTGGACATTCTACGTCGTAGAACACTACATCTAAAGTATAGTCGTGAAAAATTCTCAATTCAAATGATTTTAGACATACACCCATAAGCAAAAGTCTTCTCTCTCTATATTCATTCTTTTCGTATCGAACTTCTTTGGGTTCAAATGAATGTTGGTTACAAGAACGGCTTAAATATTGTATTCTAGTGTAGTGTATGATTAATTACGACTTGCTTCACTGAAGAATATACATCATTCAATACAATCGACCAACACTAAAAACGAGTTGGTTGATAGAATAGCTCATGGCTACGTTATCTCTTTTTGATACTTCTAGTTTTACTTTATCTGTATTTGTATAAACACCTATACCGCATTCTCGGAAGAGCTTCAAGTTGGCGATGAAGAAAGCTAAATGATCCAAACCAATAAAGTAGTCATCAGATACAAAAGAAAAAGAAATAACCCAGTTGTGAAACATTCTATCAACCAACTCATTTGTAGTATTGCTCAACCGTATTGAAAGACGTAAATTCTTTATTGAAACAAATTTCCATCAATCATGTACTTCTTATCTAGACAAGTCTTTTTACTCGATAAATAACACTTGGAATTTTTGAAAAGTTGACAATCTAATGTTGTATACTTTGAATGAAAAATTCTAATAATGACTATCTATACTTATATATTTTAGGGGTCTTCGTAAACTTGCTTGGAAACATATGAGCTATGGCTTTGGTGAAATGCGTCGTGCTTATTCACTGTCGGCTACAGTGAGAGAATTGCAAAAATTTGTACCAGCTCTCACTGTTAAAGATGTTGAACGGTAACTTTGATAGACAATATATCTGTAAAAACAAACAAGTTTTCCTTTTGTATTTAGAGGTCCAAGTGGCATTCGAGCACAAGCTTTATCTACAGATGGAAACCTTGTTGAAGATTTCATTTTTGAGACAGTTAATACTGGTCAGCTAAAAAATCGAATTTTACATGTACGAAATGCGCCAAGTCCTGCAGCAACATCATCATTGCCAATTGCTGATATGATTGTAGCCAAAGCAAAAGAGTGCTTCAATCTTGAATGACATCGTATCTTTCTTGTCTTTTATACCTATTATTATATTTTAGTGCAACGTTAGAATATTAATGATTCATTTGTGTTTTGAAATACATACAATGATTTATGCCATTTTTTTCAGATATCTTATAAACATGTCTCTCGCTGAACAACTCATCGAAATGGGTTTTCAAAAAGACCAAATGTATGTTTTGATCTATTCTTGTTTGTTTTTTTTCTATATTGATATATTTCGTTCTTTATTAAAGTGATAATGCTATTAATGTAGGAAAAGCTGCAAATATGGAACAAGCTATTGATTGGTAAAATTTTCTAGAAAATATTAAAAATAAAAAGATTGATTTATTTAGGATTATGACAAATGAGAATAAAATAGCATCGGGAGCTGCAGCTAGTTCTGAACCAGTACTCAATTTGAGTTCTAGCTCTAGTGCAGCAGAAGAAACAACGACTGAAGATCAGGCTGAAGCAAATTCACTCAAATGTGATGAGTAAGAATGGAAGAAAAAAAATATTTTGTTTTTTGTTATTCTATATAAATTTATTTATTTCAGATGTGGTAAATTATTGAAAGATGCTGATGCAGCAACAGCTCATGCTATGCGAACAAATCATTCAAGTTTTTCGGAATGTACGGAAGTACTTAAACCATTAACAGCTGAAGAAAAAGAAGAAATGAAGAAAAAGTATGAATTATATTTTAATTTTTTTTTGTTTACAAAAAAGATTATTTGATTTTATTTTTTTGTTTAGAATTCAAGAACGTATTGTTGCTCGACGTAAAGAACAACAAGTAGCCGATGAAAAAAAAGCAATTGAAATGGAAAAAAAACGTATCTCTGAAGGAAAAAGTTTATTAGAAATCAAACAAAAGTAAATATATCTTATAGAGATGAATTATTGAATTTGTATTGTTGAGTGTTTTTGTGAAATATGATCTAAAAGGAATGTTGAGGTTTAAGGGTAGAAATTTGGACCGTCTGACAGATATCTTAGCAATGTCTTTCCTTCATCACAAACCGTAATAGATGCCTTACCAACGCTGTGTTTAATTCAGATTTTCTTCTTCGAAAGGACGACTTAAAACTTCATGAGAGTGAACACCTATTTTTGGAAACACAGGCACATATTATGTGGTACTGTAATCATAAAGTCCTGGAGAATCAATCCGATCTTCGGAGAGACCCCGTCCTTTCACTCTCATACTAGATAAAATACTGGTAACGTTTTCCCTTCGCATCACAGATGCCTCAGCAACGCTTTCCGACCCTGCATAATACTGAAATGTATTCCAAAATAGATACAATAAAACAATGTCCTTGTGATTAGCAAGAGCAACTACATCGTGTTTCACATTTTCATTCTGTAAGAATTATGCTAACAGCTTTTTTTTTATCCTTTGAAGACGAGAGGAAGAAGAAATGAAAAAAATTGCTGAAGCTAATCGTCGTGAAAAAATTGAAACACAATTAGCTAAACAACGTGCTATTGAACAAATTGAAGCCGATAAACGTGCTCGACGTGAAAAAGCAGCTGCAGAAAAAGGTGGAGTAACTATTGGAGATGTTCCAACAGCAAAACCTCAACAAGTTGCTGCAGCACAACCAACACGACAATATGATGAATGTAATCTTCAAGTTCGTTTATCTGATGGTTCAACAATACGACAGATATTTAAAGCAACTGATCGATTTGAAAAAGTTTTTGAATGGATACGTCAAGCACAACATTCTGATCCATTTATGCTTTTACAAAATTATCCAAAAAAGGAATTTCAAGAAAGTGATAATGATAAAACATTAAATGAACTGGGTAAATACAAAAATGAAAGTTTTATTTTTTCTTATTCTTTAATCTTTATATTTTTCATATGTCTTAGGTCTTGTTCCATCGGGATCACTTATGGTAAAAGCACTTACGCATTTTCAAACATAATGCTTTCTTTTTCTCTTTGTTGATTCTTATGTTCTGCCTTTTTTTTTAAATAAATAAATAAATAAATAGCCAAGAGCAAATCCTAGTTTGTAATGTATTTTTGAGTTATCAAATTCGAATGCATATTCGTTTGTGTTTAATCGATTTATCAAGAAAAGAAAAAAATAAACTTCGTCAAATTCATGATTTCAAAAAACGAAACAGAATATTTCATCGATTTTTTATATGATATAATCAAAAACGTAGTCTTACGTATTTTAGCTTGGTTTACAAAGGATCCTCCTCAGGCGTCTGCTTCAGATACTACTTAGTAGTCTAGTGAAAATTCTAAAATGATTTAGGTTTCTATTGATGTTTGACTAAGCTATCGAATTTTTAATATGGTTATTTCAGATTTTCGGACAATTCGTATTTTCAAATTTTGATCTGAAGCTTTGCGCATATAGAGACCTCAAATAGACTAATTTCTATAAAAAAAATTCAGACACTTTGAACGAAGTCTCTTCGAGATATGAAGCTTTTAAAAAATGCACTGTTGTGTGCACTATCTATGGAAAATGTCTTATCTGTTGAAAGTTGCTTATCTTGAAGAGACTATGTTTAAAACTCCTGAATTTTTTTTATGGAAGGTAGCCTAGTTGAGATCTCTATATGCACAAAGTTTCGAATCAAAATTTGAAAATACGAGTTTTCCAAAAATCTGAAATAATCACATTAAAACTTCGATATTTTAGTTAAATCTTAATAGGAACCAAAGCCCGTTTAGGATTTTTATTAGAATACTATATAGTATCTATAGGCAAAAAAAATCATTGAAAGCGGAAGGAGACAGTTGAAGATGTACCCTCGTCAGCATTTATTTTATAGATTAAAAGTAAGTTTCGTTTTAAAAGACTTTCACATATTGTTAATGAATATATATTTTTCTTGATTAATCCATATATAATCTCAAATTTACATTTATCTCTTCTTTTTTCCTACTAAATATTTTCAGTACCGTAATCATGTGTGTTGCAACAAAAATAGCAAACAAATAATATAATAATGCTTTGTGCTTGTCACGTCTCATTGAATTGTGTTATATTATATTGGCAGAGCTGGTCTATTACTTGTATCTGACTGGTGTTGTAGTTAAATGAATGTGGTTCGTTTTGTCACTGTGATCATCATTGAACGGGCACTAACTCCTTTTGTTACCTTTAGTATATTAACTTATATTACAAATATTCTTTTTCTAATTCCATCTAAAATGATTGTCTAAGACCAATTATTTCTATTTTTATATTATTATTATTTTTTGATAAAAATTAATACATACGCATATACAAGAAAAATAAACTGATTTGAAAATGAAAATTCTTAAAAAAATAATTTCGAGGTATTGTATTTGATCATTCTTGATGTATTAATAACCAATCATCATAAATTCTGTATATGATGTACAAGTATCAATACCTCTCTTTGAAGTTATCAGAACACGATAATTTGCATATGGTAATGGAAACTGTGGGATTATTTGCAATACTCCGAATGTTGATCTTCCTGGATTTGATACAAGTCCCGTACTATCATTATAGATTAACGTCCAGCTCCATCCAAAGATAAGTTCATCTCTTTGTAGATTACTCCCTTCAATAGTGATTGTCAATGGATCACGTTGTGGATACTTCGTATTCGTGCCTATATAAAATGCCACTAGGCTGAAGAAGCGATTGCCTAATGATAAATACCAACCAGTATTTTCGCCGCATGTTATCAACATAGATGAGGAACCACTACTACAGCTTCCACAATTGGTATATTCGGTTGTCAGATCATTATCGAATACAACGTCTGGAGAATCAGCAATATTATATATACCTTCAATTTCACTAGTCCATGTTGGTGAACTATTGCCACCTGCTATTGTATTCCATATGGGATATACAGCTTCATTTGAGCGATTGAAGAATTTTAGAGCTGTTCAAAAAGAAAACAGTTCGAATTCTGCAAAATGGGTTTCATATGCTCTTATCTGAACATGCGATATTTATTGTTCTAGACAGACTTAGAGATAAATTAATATAGTATAAGCAATAATCGGTGATTTGGGATGAGAAGATCGAATTTTTCGTATTCACTATACTCAAATTATCTTTAAAAATGGAAAAATGGTGAAATACAGATCAGCAACTAGCAATGTTTAAAGTGTTTTATTTATATTATAATGCATGTTAGAAAAAGTATTATTTCATCTGTCATAGGAAAGAAGAAAATACCATTGTTGAATTAATCTAATATAGACTCAACTGGCATACACGTTCATGTTTTCGCTATAATCAAATGTAGTATGACTACTATTGACATAGATCAAATATGTTTCCAAGATCATACTTCAAACTGTAGAAAACTTATGTCTACAAAAACTATTTGAAATCTATATATGTGGGACTTCAAATGCACATCAAAATCTTAATAAAAGAGTTTCTAGAATCCAGAGTAAACTAGTAAAAGATTCAAGATGTACCGCCTCCGATATAACACATAGATATACGTGCGCTTTTCCATTTGATTCACACAAAGGATCCGATAAAGATAATCGATCAAGACAATGGTTTTTTTTAGACATTGAAAGATGTTGAAATAAGTTCTCACAGTCATATCTATCTTTTTTATTATTGTTTTCTCTTTCATTATCTATTATATTTGTAAACTGTTAAATTATCGTACACAAGTGTCGTTCGAGAACGAAAATAAATAATGAAATCCTTGAATAGTATCATTCTTATTAACCAGCTTGAATATGTTAAAATTAAATCTATCAAAAATACGTCTAGATCGATTTTCAATATTCTCAGTCATCTTTTTTAGATTGCCGAAAGAATCGATCATCAAGCTTATACCACTTTAAAAACGAGAAGAAAAGAGTAGATAGATAAATTCCAACGACAAGTGTACCATGAATGTATTTTCAATTGCTGTATTTAGAATTTTACTGTTTTCTAATCAGATGTACTTAACGCTTCAATTTTTCTTGACTATGTACATTCCAATTTCTTTACTTTTATTTGTATATTAGAAGTAAGAGATACATAGACGACAAGTGTAAATACAAAAAACAATGGAAAATGAGAAAAACTTTATATAAAAATTGACGAAGCTCCGAAAAAAATCATTTTAATTCAATACAGAACCGTTTATTCAATGGATTATTCAGTATGTATTGATTATTTAGAGTTCACATCAGAAAGACATGAAACTATATGGAAATCACAATTGTCTTGTAACCAACTTTTGCTTTGTAAACGAAAAATTTCACCTTAAAATCGCAAAGTAGGAGATGAGCCTAGATATTGCTGATACCTGTGACAAAAACTGTGATACGCGACACACATTAAATATAATCTTCGTTGAAATTAAGACATAATGAAAAAATATTGAAATTTGCTATTTTATTCCTATTGTTTTTTCACTCTTTCATTAGTACTTGTAAAAAAAGTTTATCCCCGTAGAATTCATTCTCGAATGGTCGTTGGCTGAGTAGAATCAATATCATAATTCGGCTTAAATCAAATGACGTGTTAACAATCATTGCTAAGATACACATATTAAATACGAAAAGCGAACAACAAATAACATGCATTTCACAACTACTTATCGAAATGCACTTGTACTCGACTATCAAGGTTTACAACTAGAAATTCAATACGGCAAAATCCGTAAAAACAAACAACCATATTGAGAAACCATCAAATGGGACCGAATTGGACATTACCTTATAAAAATTGATGTACTCTTACAAATTGTTATTTTTCTCTTTTTAATTAACCTTCATTTGTTATGGTAGTAATTTCAATGGCGTCATCCCATTGAATTTCGTTTTAGATTAGACTATATCTATTTTATAAATCGAAAAATACTATTCTATCTACTTGTAGTGACGACAATGGTGTTATTAGCATTTGTTTTTTTTTTAAGGACATTGAAATATTGACACTTTCTAGCCTCAATAAGCGTCTATGTGCTTTGTTTACTCTATTTAACATACTATAACAATAATAGAATAAGTTAGATCCATTCTGAATTCATCTGATGCATACAAATGTGTTTCTCACTTACCACTAAAACTTCTATTTCCGAAATAGTAAACTTTTGCATTAGCAATAGTTGGTACAACCCGTAATTGTCCTTGACTCAATTGTGCAAAGAAAAGTAAACATGTTTGACTAAAACCAAAATATGTTACTGTAAAACAAATGGTATTATTGTAGCATTGACATAGACAAGTATAAGCCGAATTGATTGATGAAAAATTGTTTATTATATAGCGTCTGTCAATCGGATCAAATTGAGCATTTTCGTATACAGTATAATGTGTCGTTGACGTAGATAAAAATACGAGATAGATAAGAATAATGCTTGTGATTTTAAAAAACATGCTAATCATATACTTCATTATGAAAATATGTTTCTGATAGGAGAAATTGTAAAATACGTGTCCAAAAGTAGATATATATATATATATATGTATAGTAGCTATTTAATGTTAGTCACCTGTCGGTCGAATAATTCTAGATCAAGGTGTGTAATATAGAACATTTTCATTAACTAAAGTGCAGCAGTGAAAAATAATCATAGAATTATATTTCTATTGTATGCACTGTTACATATTAGTTTTTTTCTCTCATTTGCAGCGGGTCTTGCTGCTGTTGCCAAATTACGTTTCTTTCTTCTAATTTATTTTTTGTATAACAAATCTTTGGCATGCAAACATAAAAATTTTTTTCAAGTATTGAAGATTGAATTGAGAGCTTCTCTCCAAGTAAAATAAGGCGAGCTTATCTTATTCTTCACGTAAATTTCATCGAGCGGTAGAAAAATGTATTGCCGAAAAAAAATCTTACAGAATTTGACGCATTCTGGAAAATTGCGCAGTATGAATATACTTAAGTGTCCCTACTTTATATTTAATCGATGTGTTATCACTTCCACGGTGAGCAAAGATATGATTATTTTGGATAGCAACTGTATTCAGTAATTTCTGACCGACAGAGGAAAACATTTTCGAAAAAAATTTATTATTCATAAGTAGCCATCTTCATTTCTGCTCTAAATTGATTTTATGTTAGATGTTTCGTTTAACTTGCCATACGATTTTAACTTGATTACAAGTTAGAGCCCGTCCAGTTGGTCCGGATCGAAAAGTTTTGAACTGGCCGGACTCTAGTCGTCTAAGAAATGTGTACAATGCGCTAGGTACCGAATACAAGAAATCAGAAAAAGTATCTCATATCTATCAAGCGACAATCCAATTCTAATTAGAAAATTTCATTGACAGTGCAGTTCGATTGGGTCCAAGTTCAGATTCAATCGCCAAAAATGTTCAATAAATCGAATCCGAAAATTTTACACCCTACGATATCTACTGAAAGTTGAAATTATTATTATTCAAATTGGCTTTCTTTTAATAAATCATGATTAAAGAAGAATTGCTTGAAAAATAGGATATCATAGAATTGATTTAAAATCTATAGGAAATATAGGACGACTTCAAACCTAATGAAATAAATATTAAATCGAAATGTTTAGATTGTTGATACATTATCATCGTCATCATCAATACTTGAATATGAATTATTACAAAATATAGATCAATTTATTATCATGTATACAGACATAGCAAATGAAGAAATTTGTGAATACATATCTTTTAGACAACAGGCAAGAAAAAAAAATCAATGAATAGATATCTGATGAATGAGATTCATTTAATGAGAATTGCCATTTTGAACATGTGAAAATCCACCACTACTACCAAATCCATTTGAACCACGTACAGTTTCATCGAGTTTCTTGAAAATATATATTGAAAAATAAAATAATGAAAGAAAACAATAATCAAAATACAAACTTCTTCTTCAACTAATTCAGCCATTTCGATTTTTTCACAAATTAATTGTGCAATACGATCACCTCGTTTAACTAAAATTAAATAAAATTTAAATTAATTCATCATAGAAATATTAAATCTTACTAGTAAAATCTGAATCATTGTGATTAAATAATACAACACCAACATTACCACGATAATCAGCATCGATAACACCAGCTATTTCAAGAAAATAGAATTTAAAAAACTTGAAGATTTTATTATAATAATACCTCCTGTATCAATACCGAATTTAGCAGCTAGACCAGATCGTGGAGCTAAAAGAAATATATGATGATACACAAAACGAAAAGTCTTCTTTAAACTTTTGAAAAACTTTTACTAACCAACGCGACCATAACAACCATGTGGTACAGCAATTTGAATATCAGTTTGAGCTGTTATTTTTCCTCGTGCTGGTAATACATAATCATAAGCACTAAAAAAATATTAGATAAAATTCTTTTCAAATGAAGTAAAAGAAGATTTTAAGATTACCTTCGAAGATCCCAACCGGCTGCATAAGCTGAACCTTTTATTGGTGAGAATGCATGTTCACTAAGTTTAGCAAATCGTAATACAGCTTTTGATGACGACATTTGAAATCTGAAATAAAAAAAATAAATGATAATATTTGGAAACAGTGTTACATAAATGAGGAATTGTAAAAGAAACCGAAATAGATGATCAGAAAATATGAATAATTTTCAAATATTTAATTATAAGAAAATCGAAAGAATGTAGAATAAAGGAAACAATAACGGAAGAGAAAAGACACAAAGTGAAGAGAAACGAACGTGACGGATTGTTGTATACTGGCTAACTAGTGAAGGGGTATATATATGTAATGACGATAAGATTATATGTTATGATATGAACAAAGAAACGAAGTATATCTAGTCGTCATGAAAAAGAAAAAGATATAAGTGATAAAATAGTTAAATCCATTCGTAGTAACTCATCTACTGACTGATGAAACGAATTCGCTTGCCTTTTATTGGTAATTTTTAAATGCACTGTGTGAATATTTTTCTATAAATGCGCCATATATTAACATTTCTTATGTATTCAAAATCAGCATAATATGAATAATTAAATCTGCTAAATATTATGCTGACTATTTTTAGAAAATTTGATAGATGACGCTCTGTGCTAATGATCTGTGAGTCAGAAAACATTGTACTATGAAAATGCATGAATATTTTTAATTATTCAGAAATTCTCAGAATTGAATCAAGATTTATGTGTTTGTCAGTGCGTTTAAGTCATCTGTATCAGCCATATCGACTTTTTTGACTTATTTTTGAAGTTGGAATATGTATAATAAAAATGATGTTAGTTAATCATGATAATAAAATAGCGAAAATAAAAATGATCACGATGAAAATATTATATAACAATACTATAAAGTGCACTTGATTTTTCTGTGCAATTATTTTTTTAATCGATCCATTTATAAAAGGGATTTCCATAAGATGGAACAGTGGATTCCTGTTAGAAATGATGGGGTAAGTCATTCGTATCAGTAGTAAATCAAACAGCGAAGAGAGAACGAAAGAGAAATTAAGAGAGGAGTAGAAAAGACAGAAAATGTACGGACGTAGTCAACAACAGATACATTCAATAAGAAAATATAAGAATAAATTTAAAAAACAAAAGAAAAAAAATCATTCAAATTTCTTCAAGTTCTTCAACGTCAAAACAATTATTTTTACTCCATTGTGGAAATTCTATAAAAGATGATTGCTTGTCAATTTGAAATTTGATTTGTATACATTTAAGTGCACATAATGTACCTAATTCAGGTCGATCAATAAATTTTAGACATCCGCCAAGAGAATTTCCACAAGTACATTTAACATCTCCTGAAATAATAAATACAAGAATATATATGAAATCATAAATAATGTTAAAAGTATTTACCCATAACTAAATTTTCTTGAAAATTTTTATATGCATTGAGAAGTTTGCATTCATTATTATTGAAAAATTCTCGATTATTAATAAAATAGGTTGTATTTCGTTTTTTCAACCATGCAAGCTCACCTAATTCTCGATTACATTTACGACAACATATTAAACCATTTTTTTTACCAATTTTTTGTAATGCAGCTTTTTGTTGCATTTCAACTGTTAAATCTTTTTCCCATCCACTAATAAGCGATTTCTATGCAGAAAATAATTCATATAAATATTATTAAATCTTATTTATTTACAGTTTTCTCTTCAACATTACGTTGAAATAGATCTTTATCACATGTTCGCCATTGATCAATCGCTATTTCCATATTTTCTTCACGAATTTTATTGTTTTTCTCTCGCTGATGATTGGTTGAATCCAATTCAGTTATAAGATAATAGGAACTATTTTGTGCTCGTGCTCGACCTCGTGATTGAATTGTACCAATTTCATCCGATACAAATTCATAACGAATAACATAAGAACATGTAGGAATATCTAAACCTTCTTGAACAATATCTGAATAAGAAATGATAGAGATATATCAATTCATTGTAACATGCTTAACATAAATCGAAAGTAAAGACATGTTTTTTTTTTCGTCAGATATAAATTGATGCTAAAAGCTGAATTACATGCGCCCTTGTTTAAGTTTAAAGGTGATCATAATGTTTTGACTATAGAATGGAATATATGTAGACTTGGAGAGAAAGTTTATAGTGGCTGTGACGAAGGTAGTACGATCTATCGACATGTTAACAATACCCAGTAGAATTTAATAATGCATAAACTATTAGATAAAGAAAGTCTTTCTCTAGAAGCCTGCATATATCTCTTTTTTGTAATCAACAATCTTCGAAAGACTTATAGTTGCCTTTGTAGACAGAAGCATCGATTAATGATTATATATCAATAAAATGTATTGTTACAATTAATTATAAGACTTAAATTGATAATAAAAGAAATATATCTGTTTAATCATTGACTAAAGCAAGGGACTATTAATAACTTACCAGTAGCAATGAGTAGATTATATTCATCTAAAATATTCGATGAAGTCACATAAATGAAAAGAAAAATAAAGACAAACAAACCTTCTCGAAATTGTCTTAATCTTTCTTCTTGATCACGTAGTGTCAAAGAATGATCTGGGCTATTTTGACCAACAATCCAAGTTGCTTTAACAATATTCTAAAACAAGAATTATCCTAATATTGGTCGATAGAATTATTGTCTTACTTTTAATTTTGAATGATTACACAAGTAATCACAAAGTGTTTTTGCGTAAAAAGTTGTTTGTACCAAAATAAGTCCTAATCACATTTAAAATACAATGATTAGAAGAAAAAAAGACGCTCCAGGTAAAAATATTCACCTTTTGTATCTGTACTAGCATGTTGTTTAAGAAGATCAACTAATGTGTCTAATTTTGAATTTGTTGTTGAATTTTCCATATGTTTCTCTAAGATTTTATCCAATTCCGCCTTACAACGTTCATAAAGTACATTATTCATTGGTACTGATTGTTGATATCCTTTATAATATTCTTCAATTTTCTGTAATATATATTGTATAACCATATCAAATGGTAAATTGTTAAATGCTGAATATTTTTTTGTTAATAATAATAAATAATCGCAAATAATAATATTATTCATATCACCTTTTTTTTCAAAAGTTTGTTTTAAAAGTACAAGTTGACCAACAAATCCTGAAGAACCAATATCTTGTTCATCTAATAATTCTCGACTATCCAAATGATATTTAATATTTTTAATAAGATCTTGAAATGTTTTTAAATATTCATCAAAATATGAATTATATTGCACTTTTGAAACATATTGAAATTGATCATTTGTTGGTCGCTTTATTTCACTATTAATTTCATCTATATTATTTTTATCACATACAGTTGAAATATTTTTACAAGCAAGTTTACTACATAAACTGACAAGATTTTTTTCAAGTGATTCTCGTTTTTCAATAGCATCTTTAGCACTAATTGTTGCTGTTAAGCCAATCATGAATGGTTTTTCTGTAGTGTTTTGCTTTTTCAATGGACATAAATAATATTTCATTATTTCACAATAAGGATTTCCACCTGATGTATTATGACATTCATCAAATATCATTAAATTAATTTGACATAAACGTATGGTTTCTTTATTTAAACAATTAGCAAATTTTTGTGGTGTTGCAACAATAACATGATTTGTATCAATAAGTTGATCAATCGTTTGATCATCTTGACAAATTTGTACTCGTAAATTACCAACATCTAAAATTGCTTTAGCTTGTTGTAATCGTATGGCTTTTCTTGGTACAAAGAATAGACTTGAAAATTTTCTATCAGGATTTGTTTTTTGATTTTTTATGAAATAATATTTTATTATAACAGAAGCAATAAATGTCTTTCCAGAACCAGTTCGAAGACAAACAATAGTATTACCATTACAAATAGTATTTCGTATTATTTCAATTTGATAAGCTCGTGGATGATATTTTAAATTTAGTAACCTTGAATATTCTTCAGTCCATGGCTGAGAAGAGTCTTCGAATGGTTCTAAATTTATACTATTAAAATCCATGGGATCTGGTTCGGGTGGATTGAATCTAATTGGTACCGCATCTGCCTCTATTACAAAAAGAATAGATTGAAGAAATTTTTTTATACAGTAGTGGATAAAAGTTTCCTCTCCAACCGATCTCGGCT